GACCTGGCATATGGGAGTGAAACGAATGGTACAACGGAGGCAGAAAAAGCATAGATAGTAAATCTTTGTATAATACTTTACGAGATACTGTGTACAAGTATTCTATAAAAAGTGAGCTTTAAGGAACCTAACTGCAGAATAAACTTTATGCATGAATCCCTGTAAACACGGTCGTTCGCAAAAGTTTGAAGAAATGACTAGGTCAGTAAAGAAATTCACGAGATTAACCTGCAAGGATGAATGAATTATGGAATGGGCATTGTCACGGAAAAAGAAAAAAAAAAGCGAAAAATTGTTTGCCATAGATACCGATGTTTTAATCCTAAGCCACCAGCACTAAGTGGCCGCAAAATGTTCTCACGACGCATGGGATCAAAAGTGGAAGACCATAAGAAAGTTGAAAGAATCCGATAAAATCGCTGTACATAAAATCTTACACAATGAATAAGTTGGAATACGTAGAAGAGCTTTGTTGCTAGAAAATTATTAGAAGCTTCAGCTCTCCTAAATATTGATGAGCAATGGAGAGCAAGTGTCGGAGCTGGTCATTCAAGCTTAGGGACGCACTCCTTCCAGTAATGCGCGCTGAATCTATACGCATCTAACGGTACACCGAGGTACATTGGTGAAGTTCTTGTCTAATTATATCCTGCATGTTGAATAGGTGTGCTACCTCATGAGCCAAACCATTATCCTAAACCCTTCGAGTCGTTCAAACGAGCTCCTGATACAATGCCAAATTTTCTTATTACAAATAACACAATTTTTATGCTTGGTTTATCTGTGCAGAAAACTGCTACGTCATCTGCATAAGCTAATACTTTCATTTCAGTTCCTAATATATTGAATCTGCGAATACTACTTATCGGAATATACTTAAGCATAGCAGCTCTAGATAAAGAGCAAACAGAAGTGGGGACACGTGGCAGCCCTGCTTTACAGATGAACAAACTGAAAGAAGTTTCGACAGCAGACGAAGACCGGTCGAAGATTGATTATAGCATAGTTTGATGTCTTTAAGCAGAACAGTGCCGACATTGGCATGTTCCAGAAGAGAAAAACAAACGAATGACTAACACGATCGAAGGCAAGGTGTACCTCTAACATGTTTTGTTGTTGCTGTACTGTGTTTTGTTGTCCTTAACAACACTGAACGACAGTACGAGCGACGTGTATATTGTTTTATATAGATCCGCCCTTAACCCCACATGTTTGGTAGGACCCAATGAGAATGGACATCGCAAATCGCAACCTATTTGATAGTACTTTGGCGAAACATTGTAGTAAACGTTTGACAGCGCTATTGGCCGGTAACCCTCAACAGAGTGAAGTTTTTTTCTTGTCCTAATTTTTCGGTATCAAAACTGTGCGACTCTTGCAAATAGATCTCGGAAATGTCTCCATGTCATAGGTCATTTTGAAGATATCCATTTAAAGATCTCCAGCATTACAGGAAAGAAAGCATTTTTAAAAGGTTTGTTAAATTTGGCAGAAAAGCCGTCAGGGGCAGGTGACTGTGATGAAAGTAAGCTGTCAATAGCGGGCTCAATTTCCTGTATTGTAATAAGACAACGAATAGCTGCACAATCATCATCTTCCAATGGGCTCAAATGGGAAGCGAAACTTGTGGTAATGTTGACGTCAGTGTTAAGGAGAGCACTGAATAAACTTTCATAGTTCACTGAACGAATGATATGTGGGGTTAAAATCCCAAAACTACCAAAAAATTATGAGAGCCGCCGTAGTGGAAGTCTCCGGAAGTTTCCACCTCCTGAGTTCTTTAACGTGCACCCAAATCTGAGCACATGGGCCTACAACATTTTCGCCTCGACCAGCAATTCAGCCACCGCAGCAAGGATTTGATCAAAATACTCGGCTGCTTACCTGCGGGTAAGCAGCCGAGTACCTTGACCCCAAGACCACCGTGGCGGGGCCTTGGTACCTTTCGAATGTCGACGTTATGTCTTTTTCGTATGTTACAATAACACCATTTGGGTGAAGATCTTGGATCACTTTAGATATTGCGTGGCGTTCTTCATCGAGTAAAGCTTGACACGTTAGCCCTCCCGAGTTTGAGGTACGTCTATTTGGAAATCTAATACGTGCTCTACTGTACCGAGTGGCATCCTATCTTTGAAGTGGAGATTTATTATCTTCAGTTTTGATTCGGTACAATCCCGGTGTCTCGCATTCCATCTCATAAAGCCTGTACAAGATTTTAAGCAGTGTTTGTTTCTCATTCTTCCTATAGAAAGACTTAATAGTTGCAACAGTTATAACATGAACTTCTTGTTTAAATAGCTCCTAAGCAGCATGTATATGTAAACTTCTTAAAAAAGCCTGCGTTATTGTTTTTCTCACACATTTATTAAAACCTTAATCACAGAGAAGCTCTGTGTTTAAATTCCAAAAGACCCATTGTGTTCAGAATCGGCTTCTACAATTTGCACCACTTTGTGCAATAACAATGCAGTGATCTGAGAACGAATGACACTGGTGCAGTGCTACAGGAGTTTTGGCGGGAAAGGAGAGATAAGGACACGTAAATCTGGTCAAAGCGAGCATGAGAAAATCTCTGAACTCTTGTACAAGCAGTCACTTGGCCTGACACACCAATGTCTATGAGACCTTGATTGTCTACGTTTCCGATAAAAGCTCACCACATCAGTCTCGCTGAACACTATGATTGTTACGACCGTGAAGGTCACATACACCATTGAATTAACCCATTAGCAAAGTGACACAGTCTGAGTCGATTAGACTGGTTATTTTCAAATAATTCAAGACGCTTCGAAATCTCAAAAAATGCAAATAGGTTGTTAATTCGCCAGGGCATTCCTTAGAACACAAAATCACAACATATGTATTGACCCTCGTTTTCAACACAAGTACTGATTAGCGAACATGACAGACTCTTTCTCAGAAACAGACAGCAGCCCACATATAATCCTCTTCTATGTGAAACACAGACATTTTTCTTAGACAGAAAGAACACAGAGCCCTCTCTGTCTCCTCGTCACTTTTGATCTCTGTCTCCTGAATTAGGACAAAGTCGAGACGCTTTCGAGTGAAAAGTCTACGAACCCCCATCAGGTCTTCAAGATCATGACCACCGGCACTTTTTTTCTGCGTTGTCGTTCGGCAACGTCACGTCTTCTTATAAACAGTCGCTGCGCCACCCTCGTCGCTTGATTCCAAGCTGTATATAGCCCTGCACTTAGTTATTGCAGTATCCACAGAAGTCTGCATATCATTTTGTAAGGTCGTACCACGTTGAAGATACTGCTGCGAAGCTACGCCACAAGAATTTGGAGTATCTCCACTGAGCTCATCCTTAAGAACCTCCTTCTGCGTAAGAAGCTTTCTTGAGTCATTTTGGGTTGGCTGCTTGCAAAAATCTCTTGGTTTTTTGCGTGCAGGAACTTCATCTGTTTTATCCGCGGCTGACTCCTTTGCATTTTGTGCATCCTTGCTGGTGAAGTGCGTCAAGTCTGTCATTGGCGGATTGTCTCCTGTGGCATCCATGATATGCTTTTGCAAGTTATCGTCATGGTGCTGTGTGTGCTGTCATAGCTTGTTAGAATAGGTCGCGGCAGTCATCAGCTGAATGACCGAATCACCGAAAGTCATCATGGCGAGGAGTCCTGCAATTTCGACGGATGTGTCCAAGCTTATTGATAAGAAGACAGAGAGGTGGGAGGCCGGGGATTTGAACGAGACTTTTTACTCCACACACAGTTTGAGGGAAAGAATTTTGCCCACTCTGACTCCATCAGGAAGGGAGCACACAATGTCGCGATCAAATGTCCCCATTTGCTCCATGTCCGATACTTTCCAGCATTCTATTATTAGTTACTTAGTTTTCCCTGAAACATGTGATTCATCTCAGACGTAGGCGTCTTCCAAATGCTCAGGTAGCCAGAGAAGCTTAATTTTAACTTCTGTGGGTTTTGGGTCAATCAGAAGGCATGGATGGCTTTTGACAAAAAAATTAACCTCCTGTGAATAACTTAGTTATGGTCAGCAGTGACTTCCGAGTAACTATTCATACATGTCACATTTGAAATTCATCTAGAGAGCTTATTTCCTTCAAGTCAATAATGTACCGAAGAGCATCTCTGAAGTCGTGTAGCCTGTAAGGGCAACCGCCTAAATCCGCGAGTAAAAAAACGGAATCCAGGACCACCTTACCAGTGGCAAGACGAGGCAGTACAACACGGTGGTCCTTGCCATCTAGCTCTTTTAGCTTTTGCAATAACTCTGCTGCGCCTTCCACGCAGGCCTGGTGTTTTTTCTTCTTTCTTCTATTGTCTAAGCCCTCGTGTTCAAGTCCTAATTACAATAGAGGTAGGAGAAAAACTTTGAAAAAATAATTTATAAGCCTAATTTCGGTCCCAGTGTGCAGTGTGCCCGCATCAAGCATGTCTTGTGTTGCGTGGCGGCGTTCCAGCATCCAGCGTCACACTGGTTCTGTAATAGGGCAGGGCACTAGCACAGTGGCACTGCATTTTCGAATAGGGAAATCGATTCAATGACTTCTAGTTGAGAGTAGATCAAGGGAATAATCGGTGCTTCGATACCCTGTTGGTGAGTGAGCTGCAGCGAAACCTCAAGCAGGTTCTACTCTAGAATAGCTCGCAGCTTGCCAACAAGACGTGTTTTTGCAGTGATGGTACAGGCGCATAATCTAAACATGTTATATGTGATCGAGATTGGTGAAGGAGAGTAGATAAAAGTACTTTTATTGAAACCAGCACCAAGAAATATTACAACAACGATTCGTAAAAGCTACGTTTGCAAAGTTGGCGTACCTCTTTAAAGTGGCAATGAACTTATACCGGCGAGCTCCGTTGGTGATCTTCTATATTGAAAATGAAGTGTAGACACCTATTATGAACTGAGTCAGTGCTGATAGTACAACTTTTGTATTTGCTGTACCTGTGCTTAGCAGCAAACATAAGTTACACTCTTAACGAAATGATTTCTGCAAATTATTTCAGAACAATCAACGGCACGACCTGAGCCAGACTTGCGCGACAAATTCTATATTATGGACGTCACAGACGATTGTTTACTTGTAAACTATGGCAAAGGAGGCTATGGTGAGTAGGTACCTTGAATATATAGGTAAAAAAAAGTACAATATTTTGCCTGCGTGTTCACTACAACTGAAAACAGCTAGCGCAAAAGTGAAGTGAAACTGCTTCGCAGCGGATTGACCAATACAAAAGGAACTCTTCTAACTTGAGCTTTCGGGTGCTTTAAAATCGTAACAACCCAAGAATTATACATGTTGACTATGTGAGGCCAAGCTCCTTCACCATTTCAACGCGCTTCCTCTTGTGGTCGCCGTCCACAATTCAAAGCGCACATGATGCGCGAGGACACAGTATAGAGCATCGTCGTGGCCGCAAAGTGTGTGTGCAGCACAACAACAGCAGCACGCTTCAAAGTGTTAGAAAAACAGCCCGACATCAATGCAATCTTTCATCTTGACATAAAGGCACACGAACGTGCACTGAGGCCGCCAAAATTAGCGCGCACCATCTCGGAAACCACAACGCGACACCGAGTGTACGTATATTCTGACGAAATGTCGCGGCGGCGTGAGCCCGTACTTTGGTTCGTGCGCTTGCGTGCTTCCACCGTCTCCAGCGACAACGCGGGCAGTTCCTCTCCATACGTATGCTGCAGCGTACGTACTTTCGTAATTGATACCGTAGGGTGACAAAGGTTACCAGCAACCGTCTTTTATTGCGTTGCCGGCCAATGAAACTCAGCTAGGAGCAAAGAAAACTTTCCATCATAACAAAATTTGTATAAGCGCTGACCACATAATCGAGGTTTCACTGTACTTCCTGAATTATCATTCATAGCATGACGGCACTTTTTTTTCTAAACTACGTAATGCTAAAACAAAAATTACCTCGTTTTTTTTTTTCAGATAGGAAGTGCATATTGTGGGGCGCTGACGCCAAGACCATCAGCACAACACGCTGTTATAAAACAATGAAGGAAGCGTGCTCACAAGACATGGAAGAGTTATGGGGAGAACGTGGTTCGTGTGTGGATCATGATAAATAGAAAGCAAAGTAGTGGTGTTGCGAACGAAAAACTGTGGCAAATAGAGAACAAGGGCTGCATCAGGCGTCACACAGAAACAGCAAGAAGAGATGCAGCAGCACAACCACTGCTCGAAGTGTCTTTCTCACTGCCACGTGTAACAAACGCATTTTCAAACAATTTTGAATGCATTTAAAGTGAATATATCACTTTTATCCTATACCTGTTTTATTTGCTAACAACTAGTCCGTCATTTATCCAAGTGGAAGACAAGTATTTCCTTTCGGGGCGTTTCGTTAACAACGTCTCTCCTCACGAAGGACGTAAAAAAAACTATTTCACATCAAAAAACGTCTTTAACAGCTCGCTGAAAAATGTAATAGGTGTCTTTGGTAAAGCCAATTTGTAGCCGTAAATGGCTCTTCGACCATCCGGTTTCTGTACTTCTGTCACAAAATTACACGTGCAAAACTTCTTCAAAACTACCTGCTAAGATGTTTTTAGGTTTTTTCTTGGCACTTTTGAAAATTTGCTGCAATTGCTTTAGAAATACAAAACATATTGAAATTATCTTCACAGCACAATTTTTTGGCAGCTTGAAGGCTACCATATGAAGTTGTGCAATCAATCGATTGAAAACAACTCCCACGAAAGCTCTTTGCTGTTTTACTCGTCCGTTTCTGTGAGTCATCATGCAGGTGACTAAACGATTAAGTAGCATCAGTAACATAACCATGCATTCAAACATGTCGTAACTGCAGCATCTATAGCTTTCAACGTAGAGTTTACTTGCGTGTAATTTGGACATAATAAACTTGTTTCATTCCTTCATACTTCGGTGAAATGTGCCGCATAAATTGGTGGCTACTTCAGGACACCCCATATATCTAGTTATCATGTAGTACACATTGGTGTAGAATAAATCTAAACATGCTGAGGTTCAGCACGCAGTTCATTAGTGTGATTTTGCGTCTGGCACACAAAGCATCAAGGTTATAAGCAGCAATAAGTTGTTGCTGACGTTGTGAGTGGATTTATGAAATGAGTAAAGCGAAACCGAAAGCTGCACAAAATATGACAGAAGCTGACCGGAAAAGGAGAAACTGACCGCTGTGGCAGCAATATAAATTCAAATTCAGCATGAATGTACGGCATCCTCCCTCAAAGAAAGTGCACTGGCTTCGACTTTAGCTGGCGCAATCACAGGTCGAATGTCTTGTATAAATAGCAGTAAAATATATGCATTAAAAACGCGGCATATTAACGGTGTGAATGCAGATGCGACGGCGTAGCAGTGGGATCGTTTTGTGTTCCCGTAAGTCTTATGTCGTGATGGGTTGTAATCCTTGTCTTGCTTTCATTAGTACCGATTAAAGTATCACATGTAGCTTAATTTGGCCAAGACTAGGTATGTGCACGTTCCACTGATGTTGCTAGTTCTTTCCAGTCAAACGAAATAATAATAATAGTAATAATAATAATAATAATAATAATAATAATAATAATAATAATAATAATAATAATAATAATAATAATAATAATAATAATAATAATAATAATGTTTATTTTTCATCAATACTTTGATAAAGGAAAGCTGCAGGTAAAAGCTTCTCTCCAAAAGATGCAGCTTGACAAAGGCCCACAGCTACCATTTAGCACGACAGCAGTGGCAATCAGCAATGTGAAGTCAACAAGAATAACAACAACACCAAAAATAGATAAATAAATAAAAATAAATAATGATAGAAAAATCAAGTCCAAATTTCAAAAATAAAAACAGCAACCATGATATTATAGCAACTGCAAAGAAATTTTAAAAATTAAACTTGTGTATATCGCGCGACTGAATCTGTGTACAGTGTAAAAAATGTAAGCCAGCTTTCACATATATATTAAGTAACATAGGAACTATGTAGGATAACTTCTCTGTGGAGTAGTTTGTTCTCGAAGTTTTTATTGTCCTTGTTTCTGTATTTCGTGTTTTAAACAATGTAATATTTGGCTGCAGTTTTGAGAGGTCATGCAAAAAATGTCGACTTTCTTTCAATTCGCGCCTGATTGCCAATGCTAACTTAAAATTGTAGAGACGATGTACGGGTAGTATTCCAGCCTGTTGAAACAGTTCACTTGTGTAAGCATCATACGGCAAGTTAAAAATGATTCTAATGTACTTCTTTTGCATCAGGAACAGTTTTTGCAAGATCGTGTAAGTTGTAGTTCCCTATACCAAGAAACAATAGGTAAGATGTGAATAGAAAAGTGATTTATAAAGTAAGTGTTTTACCTTGTATGGTAGAACAGTTTTGCCACTGTACACCATGCCCACTACGCGAGATAAGGGACTCAGCGCACTGTTAATGTCTTCACTGCAAAGCAGATTGCTCGAAAATGTAACTCCAAGAATTTTTATACTATTTACAAGCTCTATATAAGTATCGCCATACTTGAGATGTATGTTTTCATTAACGGGCTCATTTTTAGGTCGGAATAGTACCGCCTTTGTTTTACTAGTGTTTATGTTTAAATTATTACAGCATGGCCAGAGCTTTATTTTCACAAGAAAATGGTTCTTTTTTTCTTAAGCGTGATACCATTTTCAGCTGAAACAAACATGCTGACATCATCGGCATATAAGACATTTAGCATCTGAATAAATACGAGTAAATCACTTATATAAGCTATAGAAAGAAGGGGTCCAAGGATGCTTCCCTGAGGTACACCCTTAGTAATAGGCTTCAGCTCTGAGAATTTTCTATCTATTTCAACCACCTGTTTGCAATATTTAAGGTAACTTTTTATTAGGTCTAGTGCATAACCACGAATTCCATAGCACTGCAACTTTTCAAACAACGGAAAATGCTGAATGTTGTCGAAGGCTTTACTAAAATCAACAAACATACCGAGAACAGCACGTTTTTTTTTTGAAATTCAGATTTGAAATTCAGACCCCTGTGACAATATGTACTCTTTTTGTTCTATAAATATCATTGCCGTAGATCGATGTTTCCTGAAACCAAACTGGGTTGGGGAAATCACGTTGTGTTTTTCTAAGAATTGGTACAGTTGACGGTGCATACGCTTTTCTAAACCTTTCAAAAACACCGGAAGAATAGATATGGGTCTGTAGTTTTGAATATCATTTTTGTTGCCTTTTTAAACAAAACACTGACTTTTGCTCTCTGCAATCTTTCGAGAAACAGTTGCACTTGAAAAACAGAGATTGAATATATGAATGATATAAGGAACACGAATATCTAGCGCATATTTATTGGGTCTAATCTGCCTACAACCACCATCACGAGATGATGTATTTTCAAGGTTCGAGAAAACGGAATAAACATATTCATCCACATACACATGCATACCAAAACGTCATATACTGCACAAGTGAGCCATTGTCCGTGATCATCATCCTCATCATCTTCACCTTCATAAGTGCGATCGTCATGGTGATGGCTATTAATGGGTACCTAACATACACTAGAGGAAACTCTGGTGCTAGTGTCTATGGGAGCTGCAACGCACGGCACTTCAGCGAGCATGAGAATGATGGGTAGTACAAATATTTGTCTAATATTTGTACTTGTGGACTGCCTTTGGCTCCATGTGTGTTCATGTGGCTTGAAGCTGTTTTCTTACGAAGCAAATATTAGCAAACATTCAGTGGTTGCGCTTCACCATCCTATTATTTTAGACTTACCTTTCCGAATGGGGTCACACATTTCAAAAGGGTTGAATCTTTCTTTCAAAACAAAACCTAAACAGCAATAAAGAAAGCCGAAAGTACGAAGACGAGGCAAATGTTTGCACTACCGATCATTCCTATGGTCGCTGAACGATCGCAGCGCCAGAGTCACGTCTAGTTGATTTTAGGAAACCCTATACCTTGCATGTGTTGTGCCTTGGTGGCAAAAAGAGAATGTGTCACGGGAACGCACTTCTTCATCGTCATCGTCATCCTGATGAGCGGCTGGCTACGGCGATTGTACGACAAGCCACAAGCATAAATATGATGATGATTAATATTAGTGGAGCTTTGTGACTCAAGGGTTATGGGTGGCCAAAGATCGCTGATGCGATGTAAGTAATGAACAATGATTACGATGACCGGGTGCATGTAGGGCTCTATAGAAGCCTATATTACCCGTTACATAAAATCTTAAAATGTGTGTATAAACTATAAAATCATGACAGTTACATATGATTTGATGTATGGGTGCGGAATGAATTAAAAGTAATTCTGGTGTCCACAAGTGAGCGATCGTAAATTAGCACGAACGCCTTCGAAACCAAAGGCCGATAGATACATAGATAGATAGATAGATAGATAGATAGATAGATAGATAGATAGATAGATAGATAGATAGATAGATAGATAGATAGATAGATAGATAGATAGATAGATAGATAGATAGATAGATAGAACGCTCGTTGTGGAAGTAGTTTGCAAAAAAGGTTTCAAAATAAAATTGATGAAGGAGGACGTAAACAGAAAAAAAGAAGGCAGAAAGTTAACCAGAAAGATTTCTGGTTCGCAAGACTGCACTGGAGGATTAAAATTAAGGTGACTTGGTCCCCTTAAGGTTCTGGTACCAACTCTCTTACGAGGTTACAGATGCTCATGGCATGTATTGCAACCTGTGCAAAAACTACTTCAAACCAAGTTATTGCTTCAATAACAATTTGTAAACTCTCATTTATTACTGACATTCAATTCTGACGTCAAGAACCGCAACGCCATTTAGGTGCGCCGAAATGGCATGTCGAATCAGTGCCACACAACACCCATTCGCTTTTTTTTTTTGAAGCAGACGCATTCGTCAACGCTGTCTTCAGTAGCTTAAGGTCCCAAGTTTCCATCAGCAGCGCACGTTGCGCCACGTCGCTGCCAGCGGAACGAAGACTCGCCAACAGCAAATGTCACATCTTGTGGACGCCAAGCCGAACAGCCAAGCATGAAAATCAAGAGGGTTTGAAAATACTGCTCCGTGCCATAGAGTTTTCTAAAATTAACTAGAGGAGACTCTGGCACTACGATAGTTCAGCGACCATGGGAGTGATGGGTAGCGCACACATTCGCTTAGTCTTCGTACTTGCGGGCGGCGAATTGTACTTGCGGCTTCATTTATTGCTGGTTACGGTTTCGTTTTTTAAAAAAAGGATGAACCTTTTTGAACTTCGTGACCTGATTTGAAAAGGTAAGCTTCAAAAAATAACGTA